AATATATAATAGCATATAACCTAAAGGGGTAATAGTAATTACTAAAATAAACTCTCTACTCTTCTCTTTTTTTTTCTATCTACTAAAAGTAAAGTACTATTTACTTTTATAGGGTCCTTTAATAGTATATAACTTTTTCTTTTAACTTTTATAGGTATTATAAAGCTCTAGTAGTCCCTTAGATTAAAGAAGAATCTAGTATTTATAGGTGTCTAGCTATAATATATTATTAATATATTCTAAATATATTTTAAGAGACTAGACTTATATCTCCTTTTTGCTACTTTTGCTAAATATTATTTACAGTGTAAAGGGGAGCAACTATTTGCTCCTCTTCTTTACTCTCTACTTCCTATTTAGCCTCTACTCTAGCTACCACTTCTTATTATAGACTAGCTATCTTAGAGGGTTCTTAAACCTTAGAGGAGGCACTTAGTGTAGTCTACTTTACTAGTAGAGAATGTATTATTAACGTGTTTAGAATATATTCTTAAGCATTTACTATTAAGCTCTTATAGAAGATCCTTGCTTCTGTAATACCTTATATTGTAGTTCTGCTATAGTTTACTAGGGCTATTTAAACCTTAGGATAATACCTCTTAAGGTAGTAGATAAGATTACCTCTATTAGAGAAGTAACGCTAAAATAGTTATTAATATATTATAAACGTGTTCTAACTTATATATATATATACTCTACAAAGTTCCTATACCCCTAATCTAGCCTAAATAGCCTAGTAGAAAAGCTCGCTAGGAAATACTATACACCTATTATTTAGGTAGGATATTATAGGAGAGAATGCCCTAGTATTAGATAGAAGTAACTTAAGCTTAATATATTGCTAGTATAAATCCTACTTAGTGTTAGAACAAGTTTATAACGTGTTCCTAACGTGTTCTATTATATACTAACTTTAAAAGATCTTTATAGACTATATTAACTAGTTATATCTAATAATATTAGAAAAGATAGATAGTAAAATAGTATTAAACTCTTAAATATAAAAAGTTCTTATAGAGTATAAGAAGAAAGAAGAAGAAAGAGAAGAAGAAAGAATATATATTTATCTACTTATATATACTTATATAATAGACTAGAATATATTAAGAACTAGTTAGGAACTAGTTACTATATTTATAGACTAACCCTACCTTATATAAAAAGTAGCTATCTCTTTCTTAAGTTTAAACTATACCTTTTGTAATTTAAATAGTGCCTTTTTCTATGCAAGTTCTTCCTTATCTACCTCTAGCTTTTCTTTTCTCTCCTTTAGAGCCTAATTACTAAGAAGAGCCTTTTATTACAAAGTTTATAGTTATAGACTAATAATAAGTTAGGAATATATTGTAAACGTGTTTCGCGAAGCATACCTTTAGGTTACTATTAGTAGAGGAGAAGAGCCTAGTAGTAGAGAAGATAGAAAAGGGGCTAGTAAACTTCTTTCTAATACTACTCTACTACTTACCCTCTAGCTTTAGGCTTTTAAGCGTGCTCTTTTATTTCTTATTAGGACTAAGATATATCTAGTTAAGTTAGATATAGTAAGACTTACTTTATTATTATCTAGAGTGTTATTATTATTATAGGACACGTTCTAAATATATTCTAAACACGTTTTAATTAGTAAATATGCATAACACTAGTGTAAGACTTACTTTCTCCCCTCTAAAGCTTTTTAAGGTACCTTTGCTTAAGCCTATTAGGAGTTCTATAGTTATAGCGTATTCTAAACTTGCTCTAGGCTTTAAACTCTTTTATATCCTACAGATCTATCTAGTATACACTACACAATATTACTTATATAATTCTAACAGGTTAAGAATAGGTTATAAACTTACTTCTAAGTAGCCTTAAGAATACTTATATGCTTACTAGTTTTATATCCTTTCTAGCCTGCTTGCTTAGCTACATTTAAATAAGATTCTAGTTTTTCCTATACCTCTTTTAATATTTTACTATAGTATTACATAATCCTAGCAGTAATTACTAGGTTTTTCTTATAGATTGCCTAGTTTTAGGCATCTTTAGAGGGTTCGTGTTCTAATTATATAAGAACAAGTTAGGAACACGTTTAGAATAGGTCTAGAATATGTTTACTTATATAAGAGGAGGTTAGCAAGCTAAAAGTATTCCTCTGCTATTAATACCTGTAGTAATTTACTTAGACGTAAAGAGGTAGTATTATCTAGCTCTCTTTTACATGCTTTATAAATACTTCTTTGTAGATATACTTAATAAAATCTTATACAAGATTAAAGTTGCTAGCGCTAGTTACGCTTATAGGGATTAATTAACTAGAGATAGCGCCTAAGTCCTAGAAACAAGTTAGAAACACGTTATAAATATATTGTGGTGCGCCATGAAACTTGCCTATTATCTACTTATTATATATATTAATAGTAGTCCTATAGAATCCCTATAAGTAAATATACCTCTATAATACTTATCTTTTTATAAGTGCTTTACACTTCTAAAAGAAGTTAGTAATAGTAACTTAATATATCTTAGTTATATCCTTATCTATAATAATTTAGCTAAGTATAATAACTATAATATATTAGAAATATATTATAAACCTATTCTTAATACGTACGCTTCTTTTCCTATAGGTAGAAGATTACTATTAGAATCTCTGCCTATACCCTATATAACCTCTTATATAACATATCTATCTAGAATATGTCTTAATCTAATAGAATTAATACCTACTCTTTAAAAAGGTAAATAATTAAGTTACCTAAGCTTAATATAAAGATTTGCTATATATACGCCTATAGTAACGTGTTAGCAACGTGTTCTAAACCTGTTCTCTTACACTATATACAGTTTTAGGATCCTAATACTTTATTCTCTACTTATAGTGTACTCCTCTAAGGCTACTCTTAAATAGGAACTATAGAAGCTTTTTACGCTTTATAATACGTAAGATTTTATCTTTATTTATAAAGCTAATATACATTTTTTTAATAGAATAGAAACCTTTAAGTTAGAGATAGGTTTAGAGCTAGGTTAAGTTTAGGAACTAGGCTATAATAAGTTAGGAACACATTTATAACAGGTTATAAATAACTTATATTACATAAGCTATAGAGTAAGTATAGGCTATAATACCTTTACTACTTCCTTAATATTACTATTAGATAGTATTAAGGGAGGAGGAGGTATATATATATATATACTAAAAGAAATAATAGTAAAAAAAGGTATTACTACTATATCTATTAGTATAATTACTTAGAAGGTAACTTTATATAGGATTTTAAATAGAGATCCTTGCCCTTATAGATAATTAACGCCTAGAATATATTAGGAACATGTTAGGAATAGGTTGCAATATACCTACCACACTTCTTTATCTAGCTTAACTGTGGCTTAACTATAGAATATAAAGCAGGACTACTAGAAAGATTTAATATCTCCCTAGTTAGAAGACCTTGTAGATATATAGAGTCTACCTCTAGTAGTACCTAACTAAAATAATATTTTTTCCTAGTAGTAGATATTAGGCTATAGTTCTAATAGCTAATATATAGTTAAGCCTATTCTATAATTTACTAACTTATTATTAACACGTTTTAAACATGTTTAAGTTTCGCTCCCTACCTAATTTACTATAGTCCTTATTATAGGATAATAAGACACCTAGTAGTCCTTATAAATCCTTAAAGAGAAGCGCTTAATAAGGCTATAATAATAGCTTCTTATTTATAGTTCTCTTTATAGAATTTTCTTAGGTACTACACTTTTTAAGGTTTAGATCTAATTATATAATGTGTTATTAATAATGTAATAAGAATATGTTTATAATATGTTCTTAAGATACTTACACACTTTTACCCTAGAGTATTAGTATTTATACTAGCTTACTAGCTAGCTATTAAAGAATAGTAAAGTTATAGGCCTGTTAAGATAGATAGACTAGCGGGAGTATTATACCTACTAGAATTAGAATAATTTAAGAACGTGTTCTTAATATATTACCTATATAGCCTGTATAAGCACCTCTTCTCTTATTAGGTAAGAGCTATCTTTATATTGCTAAACTAGTATTATATACCTATACCCTTAGCTATATAATTAAGGGTATACTAGGAGAATAGCTGCATACTTAATAATTACTAGTGTAAGTAGTAGTCCTTAACTATTACTATAAGTAAGGTATATATTATGCCCCTATAATATATTACTAACCTATTCTAAACTTATTCTATTTACTTTTACTTACTTCCTTAATACTACTACTACTATCCTCCTCTAGCACTTTATATAGTTACCTAAATTTATCTCTAATATTACTATCTAGTTTAGATATATTATCTAGTACTGCTATACTAAACTCTAGTATAGTATTTAGGAACGCCTGTATATTATTAAGAATAGGTTTAGAACACGTTTAAAAAAGATAGTAATAAAAACTACGTTTACTTGCTTAAATTACCCTAATTTATACTTAACTATAGGCTAGTTTATATAACTATAAAAATTTGCCGCTGTAACGTGGACTTGAACCTACAGGGATATTCTAACCACTCGGAGTAAAGCCCAAGTCGCCCGACGCTAAACCCATGGTCATATGACATGCCACCACGTTTGGTGCCGCTTGAAACGTCAGATGTTGTCGCCGGGAGACGGGTGAAGTATGCAAGGATGAAGGTTGAATGGGTTGGCCGATGTGAGTCGTGTTAGGGTTTGGCCAATGGGAGGGCCGGTGGGGTCCAGGGGTTTGCGCGGTGGCTGATTGGTTGGGTGATGGAATGATCACGTGCACCCATCTACACATGATTGATCGCTTCGGGTGATAGACAGACCGTCTATGCAGTTTGTGAAAGCTGTTTTTGTCTTGGGCCTGGCCTCATCAACACGGCTCTTGAACCTGACTGCAGTACACGCTCAACTGCGAATGCTCCAGAGGGCTATCTATCGCTCGCATCTCAGCATCATCTAGATACGTCTGCAATATACACTACTAGTCTTACATCTCACAGCGCCTTAACCACGCCTCACTCTTCAGCATCCACACTCGAATCCTGCACAAGGCTGACACGACCGCGCTTATGACTGGTCCTACCTCCCGGCCCAAGATCCGCCTCATCAGCAGCCCTCTTCCGTCCCGTCGTTGGCGAAACTGCAGAAAGATCTCCACGACTCTTCACCATGTACATTTCCACGACTTCCCTCAACCGCGAGCTACTCACCTTTCGGCAGCCCAGCCACCTAATGTCAACCACTGGGATCTTGGCCCGCTCAAATAGTTTTGGCAGTTTCCTTGTCAATATCTCGATGTGGGACTTGTCGAACTCCTCGCTCTTGAGCGCGAAGCCCAGATGCAGGAATCGTGAGTATTGCAGTCTATCGGTTTCATCTTCGGCAGGGCGCTCGTGCTTTGGTTTGAGTTTGCGTAACCGAATGTGGCGATCGCTTCCTGATAGACGTCGCCAAAAGGCGGGTGGTTCATCTCGTTCTCTCTGCATCCTCTGGTGTATATCGAGTGTGGTGAAATAAGGTCGCGTTAACTCACCAGCCAGCTCTTTCAAGTGCTTGATAAGGGAATTGGTAAATGAGTTGGGGCCCGGCTGACATGTCGTCTGGCCAATGTGTGAGGCGGCTAGCATTTCAAAGGTACGCCCTACTTCGGCGACGTTGCGCAGCATATCGCTTGCATAGCAGCAGTCCATGATGAGAAACACGTCGGCTTGGACAGTCTCAATGAATGGCTTTTCGGACCGTGTCCAACTCACGTTTTGGTAGGTGCCCAGGTTGTCACTGCAGACTTCATCAGTGCATCGATATCTGGACACTACCGGCCCCTACTTACGGACAGATTTCCAAAGCCTTTGTCTTTTCGTCGTAGACACCATGGCCTGCATAGTAAACTATGAGCAGGCCATCCACGCTGTCTTTGTCGAAAACCCACGAAGCGATCTCCTTGTCAAGTTGATGCTGCGATTTCTTGGGTCCCAGTTGAACTTCCCTCACATCGAATAGGAATACGTCTTTGAAGATGCTCGCAAGGGCATCGACCTAAAACATCGCGATGAGCTGGAGACTGCAAAATCGTAATGAGACCGCCCACCTCTGGCCGTACGTTCAGTTGGTCTATACTGTCCTCCCATTTGACCATCAACACATGGACATCGCGATATCCGTCTGGAAGATCCATGTGTTTGGCGATGGCATGATCCCACCATTTCTGGAGCTTTGTCTCATGCTGTTCATCATTCGATTGACCACAAGCAACAATGCTGGAGCCCGGTGGGGTAAGCGGAAGGCCAGTTTGAACCTGTAGCCCTCCAACAGCTTGCATCGTCTCAGGTTCGGCCGTCAGGAGTGGAGTTGGAGGCATATTTGCTGCGAACGACTGTTCGGCGATGATCGAATGGAATGCTGTGACCGATTGCTATACATTATTGGCATGTTGCGCATGGTGGGAAAAGGGCTGCCTCAGTTCGCATTTCCGGTGAGTGTGTTTGCGGGTAGGTTACAGATGAAGGCTCACTCACCAAGCCACTCATCTGCGTGTCAGCGGATCTACGCCCACATTTGGTGAGGGAGCAAGGCACACAAGAACATGTATCCCCCCGCGGAGCTCGTTTCGCATGATTGTATGCCTTGCGCAGCCTGCTCGAGCAACCTATCGCCGTTTCTCGTAGCCAATAGGATATCGCAATGTGAAGGCAAACTTCTCCACTTTGTAAGCAAATTTCTGCCTTGAGTGAGACGAACAGTCATTCGCTGCTCATGTGGGACCTTCGCAGAGTCGAAAGCATTCATATCTGCAGTCGAGCCAGACCTCAACCATAAAGAACCTCGATTCAGCCTGGAAATCCAGGCACAGCCTCCGCCCTTCATCTGCTAGCCATGGCCGAGACAGTGCAAGCAGAGGCCCAATACGATGCATCTGATGACGAGCTTCAACCGGTAAGGCATACTCTACGAAGAGGAATAGCGGCGCACAGACTCACTCTCAGTAGGCGGAGTCGATACCCATCGACCGCGCTGGTGTCGTAGAGAGTGATGTGATGGCGGAAGTAAGCCAACCCAACTCACATCAAAATATGCTCAATGCTGATTGGATACATAGCTTCCCTACAAGCATGAACTTGACAGGAAAATACAAATCACCGAGGACATTTCTGATAAAAAACAAGCGGTACAACTGCAAGTAGCACACCGACGGAAAAGTCCAAAAACTGGGAAGGCGGAATACCAGCTGAGAAAAATCGGTGATGTGACAGGCAAATTGTATTCCAATGGCAAGTGGTACAGAGAGAAGGATGTGAGGCGACTCTAAGCCTTGTCGTCCTATCAACGATGCGGGGCTTGACCGGTTAATCAGGACGGAGTATTTAGATGACCACTTAATGCCATAACGCTGAGGGGGTATCTCTTGCATTGTAAATCAAAGCAATTGAATGCAGTCGTCTATTTCATCTGTATCCAGCATGAGTACCACACCAATTTCACCACCTGAAAAGGACCCACAGATATTCAGCCAGGCAACCTCTTCTTCCCACGCATCTTCTTCTACCTACTATTCACGGATATCTGTCAATTCTCTTAAGCAAGCGATTTTGCATCTTCTACCACCGAGGCCAAGACACAAGTTGAACGATGAGGAACAGCAGGCTCATGCAGATTCCGATACGAATTCTGCACACCAGTCAATTGCTGAATCTGATGAAAGTAGTGATACCGAGATATTTAGTCCGTGTCCCAAGGATGGTACAAGAGTTCGTACTCGTAAGTGATGTCATCGTAAGACCAGGAAACCGGGAAACTCAATTAATCCACAAAATGTAGTGGAAGCATGTCCCAAAGGCTACCCCCAATTAGCTGCCTTCAAAGCTAGTGAACAAAATTTCATGCTATATCGCAGCTTCAGCTGCGTTCATGCACGTCTACTTTTGCGGCTCCAGGCATCGATCCAAGCTCTGGAATCCGAACTGGACAGTCTCGATCGACTGCACAATGAAACTGCAGAAGGAAGATCCAGACTCGCTTCGTGGGACAATGATGTTGGTGCTTGCGAAGACGAGAAAGCCCAGGGGCTACGCACTCGTGAGACCATACTGGAAGAACTCAGGATCAAGGTGAACCAGTACGATGAGCTTCTCATCAAGGCGAGAGAACTTGTTGGCTTCCAGCGACCTTCGTCGAGAGACTATGGCAACGTTTGCAGGTTTTTCCGCAAGGTTGGTCCGGTGGTGGAAGAAGACGAGGAGTATCTCACGTGGAGAGAAGACATCATAACGCTTCGACACGGCCGAGAATGGGCAGGTTTCGACGGACTCGTGGAGGAACTCCTCCATAAATTCGATGGTCCTCTGATTCGAGTAAGATACCTGCATACCCCCCTTAACATCGATAACACAATTCATTAACACATTATCCCAGTTCTTCTTCTGCACGCCTGCCCAACTCCGCAAATCAACCGACAAAGATATATATTACTACTCGCCAACCCGCGTGTCCAAGCTCGTCAACGCTTTCATCACAATCGTCATCTTTGCGCTCCTCGCCGCCCCTGTGCTGAGCATGTACCATCTATCCACGCTAAAGACACACGAGGCGATTTTCTCCGCGATAGGCGTGTTGATGGTCTTCACGCTGCTATTTGCGGCGGCCATGGCGGCGCTGACGAAGGCGCGGAGGCATGAATTGTTTGCAGCGAGTGCGGCGTACTGTGCTGTGCTTGTGGTATTTATAGGAAGCACTGGGTTTAATTGAGTGTATTGAGACTTTTGAGCCAAGGCTTCTGGGTATAGAGGCTATGGGTAGGTGTCAGTGTGTCAATTTGTTCGATTTCTGCGTTGGGAAGCTTGTAAGTCTATCTTACGTTCTTGTAAGAAGCTGGGTAGGTTGGGGATATTTCCAGGGCATGATGAGGTGTATTTATGATATATATTCGCCTGGAGTGGAGCATGTTGTCTCTGTCTTCCAATTGCGATATATTGGCCATGTTCCAGCACAGACGAACCACGATCCTCCTAACCCAATGCTCCTTCTTCTGACGAAGTCATGTCAGACATGGCTTAGCTAACCAACTCATCAATTCATTACGTCATAAATCTTGATCCTTGTTTTTTTAATATTTCTGGTCCGCTTCTACACGAAAAATAACAAAGCGACTGCCTTCTAGGTCAGCCTTGAAGGTCCGCTCGTGCCGCGAATTTCAACGTAGAAAGACACCGTCATGTCTGCATAATACTGATTTTTGTGTTCAAGTCGTCTGACTGCCTGCATACAAGTGTGGAAAATCCCTCCCGCATATGGATTTCAAGGTGGCACCATTCTTCCGCACAACCTCTGCTTACCTTCAGCCTGATCACACTGCCATCAAAAGTATGAACGTGGACAGTCAAACGTTTTTCGAGCATTAAATATATGTTGAATCAACGACAAAAAATCTTCTCGACATGCGGCTTCTACATACCTCCAAGTTGTGCCTGGAAGAGTTTGTGGTGAGTCCACCACGTTACGCGATCCTATCTCACACGTGGTGAGCAGTCATCTCTAGTCTTAGGTACATTTTCTGGCTAATTGTCGATAAGGGCGGAAGAAGAAGCCCTCTTCAAGGATGTGGAAAACAATACTGCCCAGCTGTGTAAAAAGAACGGGAACAGTCTACAACGAGACCGAACAAGGAACAGTAAAAGAAGGCCAACACAAGAACAGAACAGCAATAGCAGCCCAATGTGTTCAGATTCACAACGCTACAACAAACTACTAGGATTCTGCAAACTGGCCGAATCCAATGGCTATGAGTATTGTTGGATGGACACGTGTTGTATCGGTGAGTCGGCCAGTCCAGCTTACCTTCAACTTCGTCGGTGTTAATCTATTACTGTAGACAAATCCTCTTCAGCCGAACTTTCTGAGGCCATTAACTCGATGTTTGCATACTACAGAAACTCACATATCTGCTATGTTTATCTCGACATAGAGACCTCTGGTGACAGCGTTACCTCGGAGGAGCTGCGAAGTAGTCGGTGGATCAAACGCGGATGGTAAGATCATTCAATTGGAGCCTTCTGAGTAGTGAACCCTCACTGAAAGAAACTTCCTTCTATCTAGGACATTACAAGAACTTATCGCTCCGAAAAATGTATGCTTCTTCGACAGACACTGGAAATTCTGCGGTAGCCGTGCTTCTCTGGCGCCAGTGCTCACCCAGATAACGCATATCGACTTGAGGTTGTTGCACAATGTGTACTCTCTCGGGGTTTATAGTATCGCCACAAAAATGTCGTGGGCATCCGGGAGGGAAACGACCCGCCCCGAAGACATTGCATATTGCCTTTTTGGTATTTTTGAAGTTCATCTCCCCCCATTATACGGCGAGGGTCAAGATGCAGCCTTCAAACGTTTGCAAGAAGAGATCATCAAGAATTCCATGGACCTCTCATTTCTTGCATGGGATGCAGATTTGACGTCCTTGCTTAGGCCAAGGAGTGGGCTGGCTAGGAGTCCAGAAAGCTTTCGTAATTCTGGTGTGGCCAGCTACGTTCCACTCGGAAGAAGCCACCCTTTCCACATGACAAACAAGGGTCTCTGTTTGACTTTACCCCTTATTGACGTGAACATTACAGAACCAACTGACGCATCGCAAACATTTTCAGAATATATTATGGTACTACCAGGCTCGATCTTAACAAATATTGATGAACCTCCAAAAATTAATGTGAGAGTACGGATTTGGCAGGACAATTGGGAGAACATTTACTATCGTTGTCCAGGGCTTGTAAACAGGCCGGAGATTGTTGAGCCCTCGTCACAGCAGCTGTCGGAAGCACAGACTAAGAAGTTCTATCTTGCTGTTCGAGACCTGCCTCCTGATATGTTGAAGCGCTATTTTCCCTCGTCACAGCAGCTGTCGGAAGCACAGACTAAGAAGTCCTATCTTGCTGTTCGAGACCTGCCTCCTGATATGTTGAAGCGCTATTTTCCGGGGCGGACCTCTTTGATGTGAAAAGATCAGTCGTCTCGAGTATTTGGACTGTTCCAAAATCCATTCTCTTTTACCAAGTCTCTTCATCGTCTTAATTGTAATTTACAACTACGAATCTTTACAATCATTACCAACTATGCAACAGAACGTCTAGTAGAAAATTCAATTCAGACAGCAATATATATGTCGGCTCATCACGCCCATCCCGCTTAATACCCTTCCCACCTTGCTCGAAATAATTCCCAAATTTCGCATTGAATATTGAACTTGAATGTACTTTACTATCCACCGCTCTCACCCCCCTAGGCTACAGTTCATCTCATCCCAGTCGTGGTGAACACATAGACTACGCAGACTCAACTGGGAAGTTTTGATAGATGAATTCTATGCTGCGGTTTTGGCTAAGGAAGAGGATAAAGTATTATTACACTTCTCTTCACTGATTAAAAACAGAACGTGATTTTGAGTATTTTCGTGAAAGATGGAGGGTTTGGGCGGATCTAAGGTGGAGATTCGGGGAGATGGATGTTAAAGTGAGGGGCAGGAAGGTCTCTGAGACGGGGGCTAGCATGTGCGGGATTGTGCTGGGTGATTGGGGAGAGTATGACGTGGGTATGATGGCTTAGATTGTAGGTACTTTTGTATTCGGACTCGAGAGGGAGTTGTGTGGAGCCTCGATTTCAGAGATGAATGTGTCGGAGACAGCTTTTACAGCCTTGAGCAATATGTTATATGCCACATAGTGTATAATAGCGTATTGTGATGTGTGTATTATGATGTGTGGATAAAATAGTAAGCTTAAAGCATGATAGCCTAGTGTTGTGTTGATAGATGTTTAGGTAGGATAAGAAATAAAAAGCTGCCCTAACTAGAACATTACTCCTAAGAAAGTAAATATGAATGTATAAGACGTGCTCTTTACAACCTTACAATATGCTTTATACATTGTACGTTGCTTGATAGCTCATCGTATTATATTGTTAGAATGTCAAAAACAAAGAGAAATTCTAAGCTACCTTTTGTTATGACCTAATCCCACAACCAGTTTTGTCCGAAGATACTGAGATTAAGTGACAGGGCAGCGGATGGGTCACGGTCACGGACATGCTTTGTCGCTTGGTTGCTTAGTGTGCTCAGTTGCTTAGTTGCTCAGTGTGCTCAGCGCCACTGAGCACACTGATCAACAACATTTCACCACAAGTATATAGCCATAGGCAATGAGCTATAGGAGCTCATTGTGTTCAATCTAAATAGCGAGCTTAGCAATACACTTGGTTGTCACCTATTCTTTTCCTCTGCTACTTTATCCCTGAGAACCAACCTTGCGTTCTGACACCAGTCGTTTTGTATCACGACCACTTAGATCCTCGCACCTTTACTATAATGTTAGTCCCTATACAATAGAAGTGAACTTGTAAGACATGCTCCTTACAACCTTACCCGATAAGCTATACACACTCTGCATTGCATAATAGCTTACCGAATTGTATTGTCGAGCGTTGTATTGTCGACGAGTCCAAAAGCCACCTTCACCACGTAATTAGTCCCAAGAAAGTGGAGGTGACGGCGATTTGAGCAGCGCTGCCTACACAGCAACACTATATAAACTGCCACCACATCTTCTACTCCTCCTTTCTTTTATTCTCCACCAATAGTAGCAGCAGCAGCGGACACATATTTGTTTGCAGCAAGACAGTACTAACACTTACGTGACAGACTCCTACCAAATCGCCGAAACCATGACCGGAAATTCCTCCTCCTCCAACGCCTCTCGCTCAAAGAAATGGAGGGAGCGGACTCGACGCCTCGAAAACGATTCGCAAATACGGATCAATAACATCATCGGAACTACTATAGGGTGGGAACGATCATACGATGGCAAAGTATTGATCGGGGAAAGCTCAGTGGTGGGCAAGATGAACGATGCGGCGCACCTCAAAGACATCAAAGGCCTCATGGAGGCAGACCTCGCGGCTGTGTACTGGTGCGACGGCGGCGAAAAGAGGGGGTCCAAGGAGACGGGGTTCAAAGATGCGTTGGGTGCAGGCGTAGTGTGGATGGAGGAGAGGGTGTGGAGGGAGAAGGCATATCCGTTGGGCAAGGACACGGGAGATTCCATGGATGCGGAGGTGTTCGGACTTGCGGCCGCATTGCGGCTTGCGCAGGATACGGCGGATGAAAAGCCGTGGTTGAGGGTCGTTCGGATCTTCTCAGATGGTCGGCGGGTGCTGGAGGGACTGCGCGACGGATACATCAGGTCCCTCGGACCGGCTGTCTCGTCACCCTGGGCACTCACGCAGGTTTACAATGTCACGAGAGCACTTGTACGTCGTGGCATTACTGTCGAGCTTGTCTGGGTGAAGGGACATGCAGGGTCTGAGGGGAACTATCGCGCTGATCTGGCGGCGAGGAATGGATGGAGCATGGAGGCGAGACAGGTGGAGGAGAAGGGGTGGGTGAAGATGAGTAAAGTCCCAGCACAGGTGGCGCAGATGGGCAGCGATGCCAGGGAAGAGTGGTATTGGAGGGTGAACAAGGCGGGGCTGCGTGATGGGAAGGAAAAGAGTGATGATGATCAGCGTGGAAGAAATATGGGCGCGCCATCTCTTCTTTCTTCTGACCCGGTTCCCCATGGGAACGGGGATGACGAGGATGACGAGGATGACGAGGATGGCAACGGGTCCATCGACATGGACATATCCGACGAAGACGAGTAGCCTTGGGGGTCTTGAGCAGTATTCGAGCAGCCCTCGAGACAGTATTGCAGCAGTGAAGCACTCAGGCTATGTTGTGGACGTCGGATATCGAGATGGAGATGGACTGTCGTTTGGAGCAGCTTGAGACTCAGACAGCATGTAGTAATATAGTAAATGTAGTTGTATCCATATTAGGCCTAGCGTGACATGACATTGATCGACATGGATGGATTGATAAGCAGCGATTAACCCTCCTAGTCGCTCGCTTCTTCCCGGTGACACTAACCACAATAGGCTTGAGTCTAGGCTTTATCGGGTCATGGATAACGTCACCTTGGACCCTGATGAGAACGAACTTTCTTTTGAAAACATTCACTCCCCCTCCACCGTCTCTGCCTCTTGTCTACTCCCCACCACTCCACCCCCGCCCCAGTGACGGCCTTAGCCAGGCAGCCACCCGCCGCCATGGCCTACCCGTTGACCATGCCGCCGCGCTTCCAGATTGAACTCGATCGGACAGATCCTGATGTTCCCTTCCGCGCCTCCCAGACCCACATTCACCACACTTGGGCCCGCACCTTTCACTCCCGCCCCGAGCTCTACATCCGCCCACAGTCCCTTGCGGAGATACAGAAAGTAGTGACGCTCGCCCGGCGGATGCGGCGGCGTGTCGTGACGGTGGGATGTGGACATTCACCTTCAGACCTGACCTGCACCTCGGCATGGTTGGTCAATCTCGATGACTTCAAGGAAGTCGTGAATGTGGACAAGACGCGTAAGACTATGACTGTCCAGGCGGGGATTCGCATGCACAATCTCAACCTCCAGGCGAAAGAGCATGGCTTTACAATGCCAAATCTGGGCTCCATCGATGTCCAATCCCTCGCTGGCGCTATTGGCACTGCAACACACGGGAGTTCAATGAGCCACGGGCTGCTGTCCGATAACGTCCAATCGCTGCGCATTGTGCTTGCCAATGGCCAGGCTGTTCGCTGTTCCGCCGAGGAGTCTCCCGATCTCTTTCGCGCCGCCCTCGTCTCTCTCGGCGCCCTGGGCATCGTCGTCGAGATTGAATTCCAAATGGTAGAGGCCAGCGATATTGAGTGGACTCAAACTATCCGCCCGATTGAGGACATCTTCGCCGCCTGGAACAAAGATCTGTGGACAAGTCACGAGTTCGTCCGAGTATGGTGGCTACCGTATATGCGACGCGCCGTCGTTTGGCGGGCAAATAAAACCTCGAAACCCCATCGCAAACCGGATAACAACTGGTTCGGCGGAAGTGTCGGATATCACACATATCATATTCTACTTTGGGTGTCGCAATATGTTCCTAGGATACTACCGTGGGTAGAGTGGTTCGTCTTCGGTATGCAATATGGATTTACTCCCGGCACAGCCATCTCTGGTGTCGGCGAACAACGCACCGAACTGCTCATGAATTGCCTTTACTCTCAATTTGTCGACGAATGGAGTATTCCCCTTGCCGACGGACCCGAAGCACTCACCCGCCTCACCGACTGGCTGCATGGTGATGAAACGTCCTCGGGTCTACCTTTCAGCACCAAGAACCTCTACGTCCACTCCCCTATCGAGGTTCGCGTCGCAAACACGGTTAACAGAGAGCCAAGACCCTTTCTTGACACAAGCTTCCCAGACACACCAAGTCTCTACCTTAACGCCACCCTCTACCGTCCTTATGGCCAAGACCCAGTTTGCCGCGAAAGATACTACGAGGCCTTTGAACACCTAATGAAATCCTACAACGGCCGGCCCCACTGGGCGAAGAACTTCGAGCATGTAGACTACAAATACCTCTCCTCTGTGTACGGCGACGACCTCGCCGCATACAACAAGGTCCGCAGCGACGTTGATCCTGAAGGCATGTTCCTGGGTGCTTGGCACCGCCGCACAATCCTCCCCGGCCGGACAGAGTGTCCTGTTCTCCCGCTCGAGGAGAAAGAAGTCGTTAGACGAGAACGCAGGGGCGGGGGTGTCGATTGGATCGGCGAGCAAGCGCGATGGTGGGACGGTGGCGCCGATGTATTTGAGACGAAAGGGGCTGAGACATCGGAGGCTGCGACAAGTGTTGCGGTCAGCGAGAGTCATAGTGAGAGCGGTGAGAGCTTTGACGTCGTGGATGGGACGAAGAGTGTGTTGTTGGAGGGGAGGGATGGGGAGCGCGTGGAGAGGAGGGTCAAGGAGGGGAGTGAGAGTTTTGTGCTTACGGGTGAGAGTGTGTTTGGGAAGATGTAGTGGGGACAATCTAGATTTGCTGGTGGAAATTGTTGGAGATGATGGGAATGTAGTCTTGGATGTCGGTTAGATGCAATGTAAGACCTACAAGGCTTTTAGTATAAGTACTATTATTAGTCGCTAGTGAAGAGGGGAATGAATACCACTTCTGCTCCTGCTCCTACGACGCGCATACAAACAACAAATATAGCGACAGAATACTGGTACCTCATTGTCTTGCTCCTTTTCTTTTTCCACGCCAATAGTAAACCTCGTGCTGGGTAAGCATATGCAAACACTTGTATTGCTGTGCCGGTGTTGTTTAGGGACGCCTTTTCACCTTTTGATACACTCTGATAGCGAGACTTTACAACCATGACAGGGTGTGATAAGACGGATCGTTTCGTGAAGCATGCTCGTGAATACATTGACTAAGTAGATAGGCATAAGGCACTCTGAAGTCCGAAACGGGCATGAAATAAATCCTGCTTGCCAGAATAATGCATGAATGATAGGTGCTTTCTGATGGGATGCGGTATCTTTGATCACCGAGATTACTAATTATGGGGAGAGTTTGGATTTCCAGGTTTTGGTCAAAATGTACATGTCGATGTCAACGCCGGTGCATTACGGAACAAACAAGATCTCTCGGACGCTTTTGATCACGTCGTACGAACCATTTTGTACTAATATCATTTCGTACTGATGTTAGGAGTGATCGATGTAATGTGGTTTACGGCTTAAATCGCGATTTAGGTAGCGCAGGGTTCCTGTTATACATGAAAGGAATTTGCGTTCCTGCTAGCCAATGTACTAGTCGCGATTCTCTAGGTACTGAATGACTTATTGGGGCTGTGATTACTGAAATCGATCGACAGAATGCTGGTTTGTGACTATATGCTGAAGGAAAGATGAGAGAGCTTTCAGGATGTTTGTGTGCGCGATCCAGATTGAAACGTGTGATGGATGTGTATGGACAGAGTTAATGAGCCTGGAGTTGATCTCAATTTGGCTTTAATCCAGCCTCAGTCGCCAGACTGAGAAGTAAACCACTGTTGCTTTCGTATAGCCTCCGTCGCAATTCGATATCTACGAGTAAGCTCCCTTTAATCGAAAGGACTCCCATGAAGGAATCTTCATGTGACTGGCTACGAAACACTCTACGCAGGATGCAGATAATTTGGAACAGCAAGCTCGAACAGCTGATCGTGCGGAATCTTCATATCAAGGAGCAGCCGCTCAATGTATTCGCCAAGACTGTGGAATTCTCAGCCCTTGATACTTGAACGAGCAAAGATTCTATGACTTCAAAGACTGGGTTCCCAATAGGGTTACATGTTAGAGGCACCCGACCATTTGAGCTTAGTGATAGCTTCTGCTTTGAGACGTTTCCTGGCACCTTGAATCTTCCTATGCTTGACGCGATTTTGATATCCTTGCAAGATTCCAAGGTTTAATCAGCGATAATCCTCTCCTTGGGCGTTTCTTACAATAGCTGACGCGAGATATTGTGCCACCTACAACATCTATACCCGATTGGCAGCTTTCAGGCAGTCCTTTCCTTTCCAGGACCTCATTACCGCTCAAAACAGGAAAAGCTATTCATTTCACACGTTCAGCAACCACAGCAGCCGTTAAGATAAAATGTGGATATTCATCAGTGAGCCATATTCTGATGCCAATATCCTCGCTTGCTCCCGCCACGATGAATATCCACTACCCCGCATTTGCGGATGCGATCTAGTGATACAAGCACGTGAAAGTGTGCTTTACACAGTTTGGTCTTCCCAAAGATGCGGATCCGTGTCGTCCTTGGCTTACCTACGCATTGCAGGAGCATCCCGACTGCTGCATATGGTAGATGCATACCATGCCTACGTCGGACACAACCAACATGATGCTGGCATATCAATACCATGATGTGATAACTCATAACCGCATCAAATCTGCAAAGCTCCCGGGCGCATGTTTGACATGAATCAACACTTGATTTACTAAAACAGAATTCTTGTTGAATTGCACAGTCTGGCCTTTTGACGCATGGGCCAAGTTACCAAGGTTGTTCAGATAGGCAGCCATAGGATTGGTTTGATAGCAAGATTACGAAGTGATGTGCCCATCGAGACCCTGGTGATGTAAGACTCTGTGCTAGGGTGCATCAGCCGAATCTACAGTACAGGGCGTAGATGGTGGCAGTAGCTAGAAGATGCAGGACCGTGCATGTTGTGGACCGCCGTGCGGAGTTCAAATGGAGAGCCGGCCAGAAGCATTAGAACTTGACTTCCCCGCTACAAGAACTCGACGACTCATTTCCTCTCTGCCCATCTTTCACAAATTCCCACTGGGCGTCACATTGCTAAGTGATCACATACATCACGATCGGCATCACGTGACTGGAGTTTCACTCGGAACCGCTCTCGTGAATCAGATCCGTAGCCAGGACAAGGCTATCAGACGCCGAGCATTAAGCTACTCGCAAGCATTAAAGGGGACCTCCGAGATACTTTCAATCTTATTGCTTCATCACGCATTCCACTATGACTATTATTACGCGCTCTCTCGAATCAATGGTACTGCAAGCACATCGTGCAAAAGGTGTCCGCTACCCTACAGCATCGCAGAAAGACTGCTTCAAGACGTGGTACTCATATGCTCTCCGCCAAGGCGAGGTGCGGAAAGTTAGTCCTGCGATCCTACAAGAACATGGCAAACATTTGCGCGACATCAACGAGGCTTCGCCGGGCGGGAGAACCTATTTATAATAAGGTCAGTTACGAGATATGCTTTCGTTCCTTAGGACTGACTCTGAAAGTGGGGTTTCTGAGAGCGTGTGAGAATTCGCAGTTCGTACATGCGACTGGACTGTAGTGTTTGGTGTGTTCAAATATTGTAGTAGCAATACGACGATATCTCTTGTTGAAGCCAAAATTTGCGGCTCTAATTATTACTTGGTTCTTGCTTTATATTTTTTTTAGCATAATTGCGTGGGCTCCTGTCGTGCTGCTAGCAAAGTCAGTCCGTTAATCGTTTGTAATATGGCAAACACTAGGTTTCCCTTAGGGCATGGAATTTCTTTAGGAACGATGCAGGATTGCCGTTTCGTGGGCGGTAATCCCATCGTCACAAACTTGTAATATTTTGGTTGGCGATGACACAGTCTGTACATTGAAGGTACCTTTGTGTCCACTTCGGAAGATAGGCACGATTTCGATCGACATAATGTATACAGGGAGAGTAGGAAGGAATGATTGTCCGCTTGAGGGTTGTTCCTAATGACGAAGGAGGTGCCCGAAGTCGACGGCTGGCGGGATGTTACGCGGGGTTCTGTTGAACGAGCCAAAATTGATTCAAGAAGATCCTTTGCTTCTCAGGATCAACTGCCACGCAATATACCTTAAGTGGTGGTCCCTTCTCCTCGAGGCAGAATACCAAAGCCTGGGTGAGGTGGTTATCAAAGTAGAGGCAATTCCACGATAGTCCATCTAAGGCATTGAGAGAGATAAGACCGATGATGTGCATGAACAATACGATAGTTTGAGAGACTCCGTACGAACCAGGAAAAGAAGTTCGGACGAGAATAAGATTGAACAGACGGGGAGACTACTCAATATAGAGAAGTTCATGTTGATAAGATGATAGCTTGTAGGAGCACGACGAGCTGCGTGGTATTACGATTTTACGGAAGGCTTGAAGATGAAATGAATAAGCGTGAATGGCTTATTGCTAGACAAAGGTGCGAGACATATTTTGCAGGCTGTTTTAGCCCTGGTATCAGGGTGCTCAGGCCTAGGCGAAGTAGACTTGCAATTTCAAGCAAAGTATAACCCGTGACTTTTCCCCATGCGTTTTTTTAGTACCCAGTAAAGAGCAGATACAATCTCTAGTTAAGTACTTTGAAACTATAATGAAATGGGTAATTAGTTTAACTCAGCACGTGAGCGGCTGCAAACAGTTGCCCACGGTAGGTACTTCGTGAGTGTGGCTTCGGGGATACTTCAACCCGACTTTTAGTGAACGCGATCTGGGGAAATGGATATGCGCAATTTTTTTTATACATGGACCAAGGAAAGCTCACCTATGTTGCACATGGTATGCACGTGTACTGCGAATAGTGATGAGAGTGTAAACTCAGATATTTTGCCTTCGGTCTGACTAATTGCGGGCTGGGTGAAGCTATTCCATATGAAGACTAGTCTGAATTTCCTGATTGAGCAGCTAACACCGCCAAGATCGTCTGCAACCTCGACCTTAGCTCCATCTACACCAGTCTGAGCTGAATGTTTGCGGTTGATGGCGTGAATACCCACCGCATTGGTCCGAGGCACGTCATTTCAACCAAGGTAGCTACGAAGAAACTAATAGCAGGGTATGGCGGCTGCCATTTCAAATCACTCTGTAATCACAAGGCCGGGGGCCGTGGCTAGGTATATAACATTGATCGAACGGCCATTGTTTGATACTCCAGACATCTTTGACATCTTCAACTCGTTCAACTTCTACAAACCCTCAATCCACCACAACAATCTGCAAATATGGCTCTCTCCTTCCGCCAAATGACTGGTGCTCCCAACAGCACTGCATCCCCATCCGACTCCGCACTCATCATCATTGACGCACAAAACGAGTATGCGTCAGGGCACCTTGCTGTCACAAATGCTCCTGAGAGCAGGAAGTCCATCGCCAGCTTGCTCGAGAAGTACCGCGCAGCCAACGGAAAGATCATCCACGTGTTACACAGAGTGCCAGAGGGTACCCCAGTCTTCACACCCGGAACTGAGCTTGCGCAAGAGTTCAAGGAATTGACCGCAAAGGTGAGGGATAGCAATATTCTTCTTGAAGTTTTCAATTACTCACAATTCACAGGACGGCGAGCCAGAGATCTGGAAGCAGCACCCAGGATCTTTCGCAGGTACCAACCTCCAAGAGACATTGCAGAAGTGGGGTATCAAGAAGGTTGTCCTGACCGGTTACATGGCACATGTCTGCGTTTCCACAACAGCACGCCAGGCAGCCCAAGAGGGTTACGAGGTTATCATCGTTGAGGATGGCATCGGTGACCGTGACATTCCTGGTATGACCGGCGCAGAGGTCACCAAGGCTGTACTCAACGAGTTGGCAGATGCCTTCGGCACGGTCCTTCAGAGCAAGGATATCAAATAAAGTACTGAGAAGCATAGAATATGAATCCGTATAACTGTACCAGCACAGCATTCTCCACGCTCGTGAACCTGATTGGATACTGCAACCTTGGGGGTAATGGCACTACCTGAATTCCTCAAACCCTGGTTTACCTCTCCGCATTCTGCCGTTTACTCCATTGGGCCAATGCCCAAATACCTTTGACAACAACATCCTCTCCCTCATCGCCCTTGAGGGTCATTCCCTTCTTTTCCAAATGATATCTCCGCAGATCCTCATAAACGGTCACCAATATCTCCTTGAAATGATTAGTTGGCCGGCCCTGCCATCCTAGCCTCCCGATTCTTGTGCAGCACCGATCCACAACCAGGTTCATAACCTCGTGTCTTTTAATCGGCCATGGAGACGGAGGGGAGCTATGCGCAATACTTTGCGAAAGTAGTACAGTGTACAAGTACAGCAAAGGAAAGTGTTGCTCATTTTTCAGTCGTGAAGCTTCGATAATGGGTTCCCATCGAATCTCTGTTTCGGTCAACCCAATACACGCGTTCGCTCTCCAGATCAGGTGGTTTGCTTGAGGATTCGTTGTCAGCCATTTCGGTAGCGTGGTCGAAGCGCTTGACATCAAACGCGCGAGGCGAACGAGAGGAATGGCAAGTCCGATTGCAGTATTGGGCTGCCTACGAGAGTCCCGGGTTCCAACGACGAGGTTGTAAGAGTCTATCATAGCATTTTGCATACGATTTTGCGAGATACTCACTTCACGACCGGTTTGCAAGAGTGCTGGTATGATGGCACCCTCCAGGATTTGCGTAACAGTGAAATTTCCATCAGGAGTTTGCTGCCAGAGCATTTGGAGGCGGTTCCATATGTGCCTCATGAAAGCATGGAGGCGATCTAGCGGCTGCTCGGTGAGTGCTGCCCATATCGATGACACGGTGAAGGGAGGCTCTGGAGACTCCTTTTTGACGACGACGACAAAGCGACATGTCGGGCATGCTCTATTGTTACCTTTACCATTATTAAACCATTTCTCAATGCAAGCGTGTCCAAATATGTGCTTGCACGGCAGGGCGGCTGGGTGATGAGTTGTGCCGAAGGCGTCGCCACAGATTGCACAATCTTCAACTGGTAAGAGTAGGTAGTTGAGGGAATTTTCCATCGTAGTGGGTTGTGTGGTAAGATTATCAATATCTGAATAGGAAGTAAAATCATTTTGTAGTAATGAGAGGCCATGTCTGTGACTGTGAAGTTGTTGGATATGAACGTTTGTCATGAGTGATCAAGCATTATGTGAAGATTTAACGCTGCGGAGTCGGTTTGTAGACTCACTGCTTGACGAAACCACCTGGTAAGTGCCATTTTTTGTTTGCTGTGCCTCAAAATAAAGCTACAAGCAAATTCCACTGAAGTTTTCAACAGTACGTTGCATGTCTGACATGCATCGTCCACATGGTAATCGGCCATGACGATAGGGATAAGACGTATTCTTGTGAGTTTATTTCAAGCTTGTAATATCATTCGATCGCATCTAGGGCGTGCAGCAAACTATTGGTATGATGTTCTAAATGTCAGACAACGTGAAAAGTTTTGTTTCGGTACAGGTGTTCACTCTGCGTCTGGTTTGTCTTTGACTCGTAAGATTCTTCAATGGTTGAGAAGACATCCCACATTTACATACAAGCACTGAAACAAGTCTTTCATAGACACAAAAGACGAGCATGACACGCGGGATGTGAGACACCATACAGCAGACGCTGTGATGGAGGCTCAGGATTGATTGATTGATTGATTGATGTTATTTAACGTCTATATAAAACCTCCTATAGGGTATAAAGACAGGTTAAGCTCTAGGCTTCTAGTGGTGAATCACATGCCTAAGTGACCTAGTTAGGGGGGTTACGCGCTCGCGGCTGTTATATTTAGCCCTTCTGCTAGTTAAAGAGACTTAGTAAGGGTGTGTGCTTACTAAAGTAAAAGATAAATTATATTTATAGGTAGTAAAAGCTGCCTTTTCTTATATCTTTTAATACTAAGGAAAAGTAAGGAATAGTAGGGAATAAGAGTGTAGATTTATAGAGAAAAGGAGAGGTAATAAGTATATATATGTGTTATTATTACCTTATATAGGTATTCTTATAGAACCTAGTAACTTAAAGTAATACCTTAAAGTCCTCTAGGTTCTTAAGTATACCTTAGAGGTATTAGGTCCCTCCTACCCTTAGGTAGGAGGGTATATTAGGCGTTGTGGCTATCTATAAAAGATAGCTAATGCCTTAGTTTTCTAGTATAGTATAATATACTTAGGTGTCTTTAGCTAGCTATATAAGTAGTTTAGCTTAGTATTTAGGTAGTTAAACTTTTTATAATACTATTTAAAGTTGCTATATCTAGATTAGATAGCAAGAAGTGTAGTAAGCGTTAGTTAGGTTAGGTCTAGGTATAGTAATAAGGTTATTATACTATACTTGTACTCCTACTAGTTATACTAGGTAGATAGCTTAGCCTTCTTTATATCCTAACTATCCTATCTTGCCTAGTTAAGTATTTTCTTAGCTATTAACCTTATACCTAACGCTGTGGCCTACCTAGCTATACTAGTAGGTAGAGTTAGGTTTTAGGCTTCTATATTAGCAAGGGAGTCTACTTTCTTATTTCTAATAATACCTTTATATCCTAGTAACTAGTAGACTTTAATATTGTATATTTCTATTATAGCATAGCAGGCTAGGAAGGCCTACTAGAAGCTTATTAGGGCGTTACCTTATAGGCCCTAGATTACTAAAGTGCTATCTATATATATCTAGGCTCTAGTAAATTAGATCCCTATTTATATAGCGCACTAGAGGGCCTAAAGGGCGCCTACTACTTCTATATTAAAGACGTATAAGTCTAGGTATAATATCCTACTACTATAGGTAATTATTAACTATACCTAGTATATAGTAAAGCTATAGGTAATAACTCTATTACTCTTTATATACTACTCTAACCTATTAGAGAAGATAGTAAGCTCTAATAAGTTATATTTCTACTACTACTTATTAAAGCGTTCTATAGACTCCTTCTTAGTAAGACTATCTATAGGGTCTATTCTATAGCCTAGTAAGAAGTGTAGTAGCGCTAGTGTAGGTTATTTTATTTTACTTAGGACTATCCTAAGCCTTTAGACCTTTAATTAGGGTATCTACCTAGTGCTAGTATTCTATCCTTATTATATAATAGGGCGCTAGATTTACTATATAAGGGGGTAGTCTTAATCTATAGTCTAAAGGTGCAAGGCAAAGCAGAGCTTTACTTCCTCTAGGGCTATTAGTGTGAAGGGCTTGGGCTTATGCCTAAGCCTGGGTCTAACACAAGACGGACCAAGTCTAACACTACTACTAAGCGAACACATTGCACACCTATAAAAAGGCGCTAAGGGCTTACCTCTCTATTAAGATACTAAATACTATTATTAACGCTTATTACATTCTCCCTTAAGGCTAGTCTATAATATTTTAGTATCTTCTTCTAAATATACTATAATAGTAATAAGAGATAGACGCGCTAGATATTTAGAATAATTAGGTGCAACCTAATATAGTAGAAAGGCTAATATAACAGGTCTATAGATTAATAGAATAACAGGCTTAAGACTCTGCTATAATAGCTATGCTACGTTAATAGAATAAGGAAATACGCAATTAGATTCTATCCTAACCTTCCTCTAAGCCTACTAGGTTTAATAATATACTACCTCTGCCCCCTACTACCTTATATTATAAACCCTTCCTAGTTAGCTTACTATATAATAGCACTAAGGTAAACTTCTCCTCCTAGTAAATAACTATAGAGTTTAAACTACGTGCAGATAAGGTCTTTATTAGGGATAAGGAGGCAAGGTTTATATATATTTAGTCCTAGTTATTACCTATAGTCTAGCGCGCTATAGCACTATACTTTAAGGATAGTATATATAAGCGTTAGGATATAAGCAGGTTTCTTAACTACCTAGTATTCTATTATAGTAACTATTATAGGCAGGAGCGCGCCTAAGTTACGTTAGAACACTTATATTAGGGCTAAAATTAGCCTTTTATAGAGTTCTTTATAAATTTTATATAGCTCCTTATATAGTTAGGAGGTTTATACTAGGATAATAAATAGAAGCTTTTATAACTTTAGCAATCTCTTAATAGTTATATACACTTAGTTTCCCTTAATAGGGGAGTCTTTAGGATAAACTATAACGCAGCTATAGAGGAATATAAGATAATTATAGTAGATATTAAAATAGCCTCTCTAGAACTAGGCTTTCTTTAGGCTAGTAAGTCTAAGGAACCCTAGTAGAAGTCTAACTTAGATTAGGACAGCAACACAAATATAGTAGAAGTAGTAGCCTTATTAAGTGCACCTACTAAACTACTAATATTACGCCCTAACTAGATCCTATAGGACCTGTTTAATATATAGAAACTAGCAAGGGTCTACACCTAGTATAGATAGGGCGGTTATTTTATGCGTGCATGCCCTAATACCCTATTACTACAACTAGTAGGTGTTAAGATAGTTATAGTATTAGTAAGCAGCCCTAATTTAGGAAACTAGCTGCCCCTAACTTTAGGCTAAGTTAGGGGTATAAGGAGGATACTATAATAGAGGAATTATTAATAGTAGAGGCTATTAAGTATCCCCTAGATATTAAGGCTAGGTTAAATAATCCTCCTTTCTTTATTCCCCTCCTCCTAGGTAGAGTAGAGAATGTGCAAGTAATAGTTAATTTAGGGTACTAGTGTTTTAGTGTAGTTAAGGAAAAGTTAGCAAGATAGATTAGTAGGAACTTTATTAATATTCCCCTGCGACCCTTATAATATACCTAGGGAATTACTAAGGGTACAAGAATTTTATAGTTAGTAGTATTAGACTATAATTTAGATAGTTAGCAGTCTTAGCTTTTAGCTTATATAGTACCTAGTCTCTCCTATTAACTAATACTAGGTAGACTATAGCTATGCAGAGAGGGCGTTATTATAGATATTCTATAAGGCAAATTAATAATTAGGAAGGTAGGAAATATAGTAGTATAAGAGAGCGGGAGACGCCTATATCCTACCTGTATCTTTATTATCTTAGGTTTAGTTATAGCAGGGTTACTAAATTAAGGACCCTAATAGGAAGATATATAGGTATAAATTTTTATAATAAATATACTAGATATTTTATAGGTAATATATAACTTGTGCCTAATAAAATATCTAAGAAGTGTTAATAAGGGAAGTCCTATTAATATACACACTATCTATATTACTAATAGCATAGTTCCCTATAACCCTAAGTATAAAACTAGAAAGATAAAGTTGCTACTAGAACTATAAGAGTTTAAGGACCTGTTTAACAAAGAGTTAGTAAGTAGTTTGCTACCCTATTAAGGTAGTATAGAGTACTATATTTAGTTAATAACTCTCCTAGATAGAACCTAGCCTAACCCCTTATAGGGTCCCCTATACCCTATATCTTATAATTAATTGCTAGAACTAAGAATATAACTTACTAGATTAATAGATAAGGGCTAGATCTAAGCAAGCTTTTCTATAGCTAGAGCTCTAGTATTACTAGTAAAGAAGCTATTAGGTAGTTAGCGCCTTTATATAGATTACTAGATGCTTAATAGCATAATAATATTAGACTAATACCTACTACTACTTATTAAGGAAACTTTACGCACACTATCTAGCGTAAATTAGTTTATAAAAGTAGATATTTGCGCTACCTTTTATAAAGTTAGAATAGTAGAAGGTTATAAGTCCTTAATAGCTTTCTATACCTAGTTTAGGTTATATAAATAGTTAGTATATCTATTTAGTCTTAGTAGTATACTATCTACTTTCTAACAATATATTAATACTACGTCTTGCAGAGTTACTTAGATTATATATAATAGCCTACCTTAATAATATCCTAATTTATTTAGGAGGAGACTAGTTTAACTATATAGAAAAAGTAAAGTATATACTTACGCTATTAAAAGAAGTAGGACTACACCTAGACTTAGAGAAGTGTGCGTTTAGTGTTAAGGAGGTACGCTACCTAGGCTATATTATTAAGGTAGGCAAATTACTTAGACCTAACCCTAAAAAGCTTAGGGTAGTATAGGAATAGGAACCCCCTAGGAATATAAGAGAGGTAAGGAGTTTTCTAGGTTTTACTAACTTCTACTACAATTTTATTGCAAAGTTTTCTAAAGTAGCAGCGCCTTTAAACTAACTAACTAGGAAGGATACCCTATTCTAATAGGGAGAGGAAGAATAGAGTATATTTAATACACTAAAAAAGGCATTTATATCTAGACTAGTACTAATATAATAGGACCTAGCTAAAGAAATATTATTAGAAGCAGACTATTTAGGATACGCTCTTAGGGGTTGCTTATTGCAAAAAGTTAGGGGCGTCTAGCGCCTAGTTACTTACTACTCTATAGCACTAAC